ACTCAATGGCACCTGACAACAACAACAACAACTATGAAGATCATCAAATGATTATTTTGGACGCTCGAATTGAAGAACCTTTGTTGTTGTTAAGCACTGTTGAGTCAGTTTGGACCCATAGTGTCCTTGTACAGGGTTTCCAAGGAGCGGCTAGTAAGTTTGAACCACTGACCTTGCAGTTCAAACTGACCTTGTAGTCAAGTGCTTACCCTACAGCCCCACACCAGGACTCTGGAAGCGCTAGTGACTATTAAAAAGGGTTAAAACAATCTTTTATTGATTTACTATTAATAATACTTGGGGTACACAGGTATACATATTTGATGGAAACATTTGCCTATTTGGACTAAATTGTTAAGTGCCATTGATTGAGTCAGTTCCAACTCATAGTGACCCTATATAGGGTTTCCAAGGACCAGGTGGTGAGCTTGAACCACTGACCTTGCAGTTCAAATGACTTTACAGTCTGGTGCATTAACCAAGAGCACCACACCAGGACTCCCTGGATAATATACTAGACTATAAAACCATAAGGACCACTGCCACTGAGCACGCATCCATCAGTCTATAACATGGTTGTCATTACAGTTAAGTACCGAGCCAGTTTCCACTCAAAGCTAAACTGCATAGGGTTTCCAAGGGTGTAAATCTTTGTGGCAGTAGAAAGCTTCATCTTTCTCCCACAAAGCAGCTGGTGGGCTTGAGTAACCAACTTTGTGGTTTGCTTATCTAGAGTCACCGTGCTCCCCAATCTACACCATAGCTTGAGCCATTTTGTGTGGTTTCTTGCAAAGAGCATTCAGACACTGCTTTCAGGTTGGACAGATTTTAAGGAACACGGCAAAGTTAACGTAGGATGATTGTGAAAAGGAAATACTTTCTTAAGAGGCCCATCTGAGCAAGGCTGTAGGAGTTAGAAATAATCCAGAGGAGGAATTATTTTCTAATCTTGAAAACTCTCCAAAACAAAGAGAGGTTGGCAGTACCTCCCGACCCCTGCCAGCTCCCAATTTCAGCAAACACTTTGGCATGGGTATATGCTATTGCCAGGCCTCTTCAGGGATTGTCAAAGAACCGCAGGGGAAATTCTAATATGAAGCAAGAGCTCAACTCTTAACAGGGGTGTTGTTTGTGGTTTTGTTAATGGAAAACACCAGTTACCTTTTAACAGGGCCAAATCTGTGTAGACACAGAAATTAGGAAATCAAGGAGGGGTGGGTGCGACACCAGAGGTATAAAAGGATTACGGGGCACCCCTCACTGCACTGCTCTCCCTAAGGCAGACACACCAAAGATGAGGTGAGTCCATGATTTTGCTTTCCACACCTTTACTCTGTTTCTCTGCATACAACTTCTATCTCTCTGATGGTCCAGTTATAGGAGACATGTACAGGACAGATGTAGATTTCTAGAAAGGGAAGAGAACAAATTGACTAAATCATAGTGGATTCGAGGACTGGCTGAGTGGTGAAATTCTGCCCTTTTCTGCATCTATAAAGGAGCCAGCACTGTTGTCTTCTCTGGGAGATCTTGTTGTTAGGTGCCATCGAGTTGGTATAGACTCATGGGAGATCTTACTAGTTCATAAAACCCCAACCCACTGCTGTCCAGTTGATTCCAACTCAGACACTCGATAGGGTGGAACAGAAATGCTCCATAAGGATTCCAAAATGAAATCTTTATGGGCGTAACTGATCCAATCTTTTTCCTGAGGAGGAACTAGTGGATTCAAACTGCCAACTCTTCTGTTACCAACCCTATACTCAATCCACTGCATCACCAGGGTTCTTTTACTTACTCTTGTTGTGTGCCATTGAATCAGTTCCAACTCAGAGTGATGCTACATCGGGTTTCTGACAGTAGCTGGTGAGTTTGAACCGCCGACCTTGTGGCTTCCAGTCCAGTGCCACAGCAGGACTCTTACTTAATCTTGTTGTTGTTAAGGGCAACTCAATGCTTAACCCACTGGTGGGTCTGAACTGCTGACCTTGCGCTTACAAGTCTAGTACTATACCAGGGCTCACTCTTATCCTTGTTGTTAGCAACTCAGTGCCTAACCACGGTGTCACCACAACTCCTCTACTTGGTCTTGTTGTGTCATTGAGTCAGATCCAACCCACAGCAATCCTGTATAGGGCTTCCGAGGAGCAGCTGGTGAGTTTGAACCACTGACCCTGCAGTTCACATCAATTCTGTAGTATAGTGCTTATACTACAGCACTACCCTAGGACTCCAGCTCCTTAGGGATATCTTTTTTCCTCAAGATTATGAGGTTTTTACCTTTGCAGGGGGATGCTACCATCCTATGGTATTTGATGTACAACTATTATCATATTATTTCTTTTTCCTTTTAAAAAAAGTTATAAGAAAGATTAGAAGTGACATATTTGACCAATGAAGGCACTTAAATTTTCTCAAAATAAAAAGAGTTTCTTGAAATGGCGAATGACCAAAACTGGGAACATAACATGACAAAATGATTCTTGAGTGAGCACCTGCCAATGACATGTTTCTCTGTGAACGTGCCCATCACCGTTGATGCCCTCACCTACTCAGGCTCTCAGGAAGCCAGTTACCTGAGAGGTGGCCTTCTGGCCACTCAGGGTTAGAGACCATTTCCTAAAGGCAGAGTATCATAAAATAAGACAAAACCATATGTTTTAAATGGCATAGTTAAAAAGCATTTTCTTGAACAATTTTACAGTGTGGAGTGAACCGCATAATAAGCCGCAGGGGTCCATATTCCAGTTCCCCACATCTTAGCATAGCTCTGTGGCCCAGCACTTCAGGATGACTGAGAGAGGCTTCTCTGTGCTGGAGAGCTCAGAGATCATTCTCCAATTGAATGTTACCCCAGTGCTACCAGAAGCGGATCCCACACACCCGTGTGCCTTCTTCTCTTGGTGGTCCCTCCCTGAAGCTTGTATAGAATTCCGAGGAGTATAGAGCTTGCTGGAACTTGGGGGTGTGGGTGAGCAAGGCTACTTCTTGGTCCGAGCACTTGCATATACTCATTTTTCTCTCCTGGCTCCTTTATGGGAGGGGTGTGTTGTCCGGTGGGGAGCCCAACTTTGCATTGCTTCCTGCCTTCTCTCTGCAGTACCCTGAGAACTGTCGTCACCCTCCTGCTCTGGGGGCAGCTGTTTGCAGTGGAAATTGGCAATGAGGCCACAGATATTGCAGGTAGGTGTTTGAGGAATCAAGTCCCCCCACCCTGCTGCATTCCCCTTCGGTCATATCAGATCTGTGTCCTTTTTGGGAAGTTTCACTCCTCACTTCTCCTCCTGATTGCTGTTGATTTCAGTACCATGAAGAACATGGGGATACCACCAGAAATGAGGGGAGAATGCCCTGTCCTCAGCTTGCAGTTGGGCTGGAGGAAGGCTGATGTGCACACAGCTTCCCGTCTGCAGGCTTTAGTGGTCTCTGAGCAATGTCTGAATAGTGACCTCTTCTTCTTGTTTCTTTTTCTTTGCAGATGACGGCTGCCCAAAGCCCCCTGAGATTGCAAATGGCTACGTGGAACACTTGGTTCGCTATCAGTGTAAGACATTCTACAGACTGCGCTCTGAGGGAGACGGTAAGACCTGGATGAGGGTCTCCATCCTCCTCTCATCTGCCCCACTAGCCTCCCAGCATTCTCATGATGAATGGGACCATGAGCGACTAGCCAAAAAGTTCACATGCTGTGTTTGGAGTTAGGAGATTAAAAGTCTTAATGAGGGTCTTGTCCCAAGTAGCTGTGGCCCACTGAACAAGCTCATCTTTTCCTGCATTGCTAAGGGGAGGTGATTCCACATAGCTTAGCTGCACCTTGTTATTAGGTGCCATCTTGTTGTTAGGTGCCATCGAGTCAGTGAACAGCAGAATGAAACAATGCCCCGCCCTGTGTCATCTTCACAATTGTTATGCTTGAACCATTGCTGCTGCCACTGTGCCGATCCAGCTCACTGGATGGAGGGCTTCCTCTTTTTCTCTGACCCTTCACTTTACCAAGGATGGCGTCCTTCTCGAGGTACCGGTCCCTCCTGGGAACATGTCTGAAGTATCACGGATGAAGTCTTGCCACCCTAGTTATATCTTTGTTGTTGTTGTTGTTGTTGGTAGGTGCTGTTGAGTCAGTTCTAACTTATAGTGACCCCATATAAAGTTTCCAAAGAGTGGCTGCTGAGTTTGAACCTCTGACCTTGCAGTTCAAACTGATCTTGTATGTCCAGTGCTTATCCTACAGCACCACACCAGGACTTCATCTGTATCTCAGAGTTATAAAAAAGGAGATATAGTAAAATAAAAATATGATGATGGTCAGGATGCTAGAAAACCCTTGCCTAGTGAGTACCACAATCCAGGCATTGTCCAAGTGTTTTACATTTGCTCAATCAACCCTCACTGGGATCCCACAAAGAACTTCATTTTGCTGATGAAGAAACAACCAAAGGCAATGAAACAATAT